AACGCCCCCACTGGGGCCTTCGGTGGAGCTCCCTATGGGGCCACGAAACGCTGCCCTGGGTGGGGGAACCGCATGCGAACTGCGCCACTGGGGCCTTCGGTGGAGCTCCCTCTATGGGGCCACGAAACGCTGCCCTGGGTAGGGGAGACGCATGCAAACACCCCCACTGGGGCCTTCGGTGGAGCTCCCTATATGGGGCCACGAAACGCTGCCCTGGGTGGGGGAACCGCATGTGGACACCCCCACTGGGGCCTTCGGTGGAGCTCCCTATGGGGCCACGAAACGCTGCCCTGGGTGGGGGGACCGCATGTGGACACCCCCACTGGGGCCTTCGGTGGAGCTCCCTATGGGGCCACGAAACGCTTTGCCCTGGGTGGGGAACGCAATGTGGAACCCCCACTGGGGCCTTCGGTGGAGCCCCTAGGGGCCACGAAAACGCTGCCTGGGTGGGGGAACCGCATGTGGACACCACACACTGGGGCCTTCGGTGGAGCTCCCTATGGGGCCACGAATCGCTGCCCTGGGTGGGGGAACCGCATGCGAACACCCCAACTGGGGCCTTCGGTGGAGCTCCCTATGGGGCCACGAAACGCTGCCCTGGGTGGGGAACCGCATGCGAACACCCCCACTGGGGCCTTCGGTGGAGCTCCCTATGGGGCCACGAAACGCTGCCCTGGGTGGGGGAACCGCATGCGAACACCCCCACTGGGGCCTTCGGTGGAGCTCCCTATGGGGCCACGAAACGCTGCCCTGGGTGGGGGAACCGCATGCGAACACCCCCACTGGGGCCTTCGGTGGAGCTCCCTATGGGGCAACGAATCGCTGCCCTGGGTGGGGGAACCGCATGCGAACACCCCCACTGGGGCCTTCGGTGGAGCTCCCTATGGGGCCACGAAACGCTGCCCTGGGTGGGGGAACCGCATGCGAACACCCCCACTGGGGCCTTCGGTGGAGCTCCCTATGGGGCTACGAAACGCTGCCCTGGGTGGGGGAACCGCATGCGGACACCCCCACTGGGGCCTTCGGTGGAGCTCCCTATGGGGCCACGAAACGCTTGCCCTGGGTGGGGGAACCGCATGTGGACACCCCCACTGGGGCCTTCGGTGGAGCTCCCTATGGGGCACGAAACGCTGCCCTGGGGGGGGGAACCGCATGTGGACACCCCCACTGGGGCCTTCGGTGGAGCTCCCTATGGGGCCACGAAACGCTGCCCTGGGTGGGGAGCGCTACCGCCTGGGTGGGGGAACCGCATGTGGACACCCCCACTGGGGCCTTCGGTGGAGCTCCCTCTGGGGCTACGAAACGCTGCCCTGGGTGGGGGAACCGCATGTGGACACCCCCACTGGGGCCTTCGGTGGAGCTCCCTATGGGGCCACGAAACGCTGCCCTGGGTGGGGGAACCGCATGTGGACACCCCCACTGGGGCCTTCGGTGGAGTTCCCTATGGGGCCACGAAACGCTGCCCTGGGTGGGTGAAACGCAGAGAGGAGGGAGGAGAGGGAGGAGGAGTGAGGAGGAGGGGGAGGAGGAGGAGAGGAGGAGAGGAGGAGAGGAGAGGACGCGGGCACCGTCTCTTCAAAACGAGGACCCAACACCACAGGATGGTTGGGAAAAAATGTCGATTTCGCTAGGGACATCCTCGTATGGTAATGATTGTAGGAGGGCATCAGGAAGCAAAAGAAGGCCACAACATGGCTCCAAGAGCGCCCTTAAGGTTGCTGAAAATAGTGATTTCGCTAGTAGGGACATCTTCAAACAAATAACAAATCGAACAACATCGTTTTGAAAACTGCTGTTTAAACATCGTCTTGGGATCGCTCCTGAAAAGGCTTCTAGATGGTTTAAGCCAGCCATCTAAAAATGACGATTTCGCTGGGGACATCCTGAAAAAATGAATGTGTGTAACATCGCACTGTACCGGTTTTGGAAGGCATCAGGAAGGCCCCCAAAGGCCCCTAACAAGCCAAAATTTGACCCCCAGGAGCACCCTCGAGACGATCCAAAATGGCGATTTCGTCTGAGACATCCTTACACAAATGAAATGTTCACAACATCGATTTCATCAACATGAGCGTTTCGCCTGAGACATCCCTTAAACATGGGAAGCCGCGAATTCGACAGATGTTCAAAATGGGGCCGCCTGAGACATCCTAGCAAACATGATATCTTGGAGTTGCGTTTTTACTACCTCTCGTGTTAAAAATCGCGCTCTCGCTGCATACATCCTCAACAAAAATCGGGCGGAGCATGGCCGGCGAAAAAAGTGCTCCTTCGCTCTTGACGTCTATTCTGCCGTGCTCTTTCGTTCTTGGGGTCTATTCTGAAATGCTCCTTGTTTTTTTGTGCCGTGCTCCTTCGCTCTTCTAGCCTATTCTGCCATGCTCCTGGCCAGTTTCTGTCACAATCCTTTGTTATTGGGGCTTATGATGCCGTGCTCCTGGTCGTTTTCTGCCGTGCTCCTTCGCTCTTGGGGCACATTCTGCCGTGCTCCTCCGCTTTCGGGGTTTATTCTGCCGCGCTCCTTGTGTTTTTCTTGCATACTCCTTCTTCCTTGGGCGTATTATGCTGCATTCTTGCATCTATCTTGCCGTGCTCCTTAGCTCTCGCGGTCTATTCTGCCGTGCTCCTGGTCACTGGTCGTGTTTTGCAATGCTCCTTCTTTCCTGGCGCCTATTCTGCCGTGCTCCTCAGCTCTTGGGGTCTATTCTGCCGTGCTCCTGTTTTTTTCTGTCATGCTCCTTCGCTCTTGGGGCCTATTCTGCCGTGCTCCTCAGCTCTTGGGGTCTACTCTGCCGTGCTCTTTGTTTTTTTTCTGCCGTGCTCCTTCGCTCATGGGGACTATTCTGCCGTGCTCCTGGTCTTTTTCTGCCGTGCTCCTTAGCTCTGGGGTCTATTCTGCCGTGGTCCTGGTCTTCTTCGGCCGTGCCCCTGAGCTCTGGGGGTCTATTCCGCCGTGCTCCTGGTCATTTTCTGCCGTGCTTCTTCGCACTTGGGGCATCTTCTGCCGTGCTCCTTGTCTCTTCGGGTCTATTCTGCCGTGTTCCTGGTCTTTTCTGTCGTACTCCTTGGCTCCTCGGGCCTTTTCTGCTGTGGTTCGGTCTTTTCTGCCGTCGTCCTTAGCTCTTGTGGCATCTGCTGCCGTGCTCCTGGTCTTTTTTTCTGGCGTCGTTTTCGCTCTTGGGGCCTATTGTGCCGTGCTCCTTAGCTCTTGGGGTCTATTCTGCCGTGCTCCTGGTCTTTTTCTGCCGTGCTCGGCAGCTCTTGTAGTATATTCTGCCATGCTCCTGGTTTGTTTCCGACGTGCTCCTTCGCTCATGGGGCCTATTATGTTGTGCTCCTGGTCTTTGTCTGCCGTGCTCCTGCTTTTTTTTCTGCCGTGCTCCTTCGCACTTGGGGCCTATTCTGCCCTGTTCCTTGTCTCTTGGGTTCTATTCTGCTGTGTTCCTCGTCTTTTTCTGGTTTGCTCCTTCGCTCTTGGGGTCTATTTTCCCGCACTCCTTCAGCTCTCGGGGTCTATTCTGGCGTGCTTCTGTTTTTTTTTCTGCCGTGCTCCTTCGCTCTTGGGGCCTATTCTGCCGTGCGCCTGGTCATTCTCTGCCGTGCTCCTTAGCTTTTGGGGCCTATCCTGCCGTGCTCCTCGTCTTTCCGTGCTGTACTCCTTCGCACTTGAGGCATATCCAGCCCTGCTCCTTAGCTCCTGGGGTCTATTCTGCCGTGCTCCTGGTATTTTTCTGCCGTGCTCCTTCGCTCTTGGGGCCTAATCTGCCGTGCTCCTGTTTTTTCGTCGTGCTCCTTCGCTCTTGGGGCCTATTCTGCCGTGCTCCTGGTCATTCTCTGCCGTGCTCCTTAGCTTTGGGGGTCTATCCTGCCGTGCTCCTCGTCTTTCTCTGCCGTACTCCTTCGCACTTGAGGCATATCCAGCCCTGCTCCTTAGCTCCTGGGGTCTATTCTGCCGTGCTCCTGGTCTTTTTCTGCCGTGCTCCTTCGCTCTTGGGGCCTAATCTGCCGTGTTCCTGGTCTTTTTCTGCCTGCTCCTTATCTCTTGAGGTCTATTCTGCCGTGCTCCTGGTCATGTTCTGCCGTGCTCCTTAGCTAATGGGGTGTATTCTGCCGTACTCATTTGCTCTTGGGGTCTATTCTGCCGTGTTCCTTGTCTTTCTTTGCCGTGCTCCTTCGCTCTTGGGGCCTATTCTGCCGTGCTCCTCATCTTTTTCTGCCGTGTGCGCCCAGAAGCTCTGCCAAAACGACCACCGCGACGATCCGCACGGCAGATACAGGAACACGGCAGAACACACAGAGCACACAGAGGCACGGCAGAACACAGAAACACGGCAGAACAGGAGCACGGCAGAACACACAGGAGCACAGCAAAACACACCCCGCACGCACGCCGACACGCGCGCCACGGCATACCTGCGCGGCATAACAACAACAGAGCATTTTCCACATGCTTAGTGGACTAAAGCGACGCTTCCCGTTCTTGTCCGGTCAGGTTCCTCGTGTCTCCCTCGTTCTTCTCTGAGTCGTCCTCGCCGTTCTTGCGGAGGTAGTGGGTACGAGGTGCGAGGTTCGATGAAGGAATGGAGGGCGGATAGGAGAAGTGAGAACATGAGAACATAATAGGAAGCCAGCAGGGAGGGAGAAGCGGAGAAGGAGGCGGAGGTGTTCACGGAGTCCGACGAGGAAGAGGGAGGGTGCGACGCTCGGAGAGATGCGGATCTGCGGGGGGAGAAGCGGCGAAATGCGTTGAGTCTGAGCCAGATTGAGATGCACAGGCTTGGATGCGGAGGCAGAGATGGAGCGGTCGGGAGGGGGGGCCCGAAAGTTCAAGATCCTCAGCCCTCTAGAGCCCCCTGGCCCTTCCTGGACGCCTCCTCCTCTCCCTCCCCTCCCTCTTCCCCTCGATCCTCTCCCCTGCCGTTGACGCTCGTCTTCCTCGCTCTCCTGCCTCCCCATCTGCGTACTGTCTTGCGACCTAGCCTCGGCTGCGCGCGCGGGAGGCGCGCCAAGCGCATAGCCGTGATGATGAACACCGCCGCGCCATTTGACCAGGAGACAAGCCCGGCCGGCTTCGCGGCAGCGGGCACGGTGGGCGCGGTGCGGCCGTTTTCTCTTCCGTGTCGTCACCGAGCTCCTCCACCGATCCGATTATATTCCGATCCGATTCGATCTCGACTTCGTCGCAATACGGGCCGAGCCGACGCAGGTTCCGATTTGATCAGATTTCTCGGGTCGATGCTGACTGATCCTGCCTCTGCCTTCTCCACTTCCAATCTCCGACAGCAAGTTTGCCTCAAGCGACGCGGTTGGCTCAAGCTGCCACCGCCAGCGTGCACAAGCGGTGCCATTATCTTTTGCTGATGGGCTTACGCGACCAGCGGAGGGCTTCCCTCGGCGCAAACGAGCTGCTCGGCTGCCGGGCTGCGGCTGCTGGACGAGGGCGCGTTCTCGAGCATTGACAGTCATGGCCTTACGATGCGAGCTGGTGGGGCACAGCGCCCGAGCCCTGTCGTAGTTGAGCGATTGCTCGTGCACGGCCCGCGGTACGGCTGCGCGGAGCCAGCGGACGACGGGCGCGCGCGGCGCTCGGGCGGTCTGCTGCCACTCGCAGTGGTTGGAGGCCCGAATTCCCGGAAGCCGGAAGCGTGACGAAAGCAGGGGAATGGTGACGAAAAGACGACCGACAGGGGCGACGGGTCTCCAGGGTTGGGTTTTTTGTGGAAGGCCTCTTGTGGACTGGGCTCCACTGTAAGCATAACTATTCGGATGCAACTCCTGGGAGGCCACGTTCCGGCTCAATTCGGCTTAATCCCGCTCAATCCCGCTCAATCTGGCTTGATCCCGCTTAATCCGAGGCCCGCTCCGGCGCAACAGTCCCCCAATGGGGCTCAATCTTCTTTAATCCTTCCGACGAAGACCTCCCAGTATTTGCCTCTTATTATTGTAAGCATAACTACACTCCCGGAGGGCCGCGTGGATTCCTCGGGTCGGCCCTTTGGTCCGCCGCAGGCACCCCCGAACGGCTGCCTCTCTGCCGGGAGGTGGCGCGCACGGGCCGCTCGCGAGGCTCCCCATTGTGCCGCTGGGGGTTGCACGCATCGCTGCGCCTCTCAGGGGTAAGTTTTGCTGCACGTACGGTGGCGTGTGGTTTCCATGTCTCGCAACACTGTAAGCATAACAACACTTCGGAGGGCCGCGCGGATGCCTCGGGTCGGCCCCGCGGTCCGCCGCAGGCAGGCATCCCACACGGGCTGCACATCCCTGCTGGGAGGTGGCGCGCACGGGCCGCTCGCACGGCTCCCGATGGTGCCGTGGGGGAGGGTGGAGGGTTTTGTCCGAAGGGCTCAGGCGACCCGTCCTCCTCTTCCTCCTCCTCCTCCTCCTCCTCCTCCTCCTCGTCCTCGTCCTCCTCTCTCCTCCTCTTCTCCTCCTTCTCCTCCTCATCTTCTCCTCCATCTCCATCTCCATCTCCATCTCCATCTCCTCCTCCTCCTCCTCCTCCTCCTCCTTCTCCTCCTCCTCCTCCTCCTCCTCCTCCTCCTCCTCCTCCTCCTCCTCCTCGGGTCGCCTACGGCCCTGGGGGAAACCGTGCACGTGGGGGAGGCTGCACGCATCGCTGCGCCTCTCAGGGGTATTTTTCGCTGCACGTACGGTGGCGTGTGTCTCCTCCCCCATTTCCACCATCAGTAGGACAACGAGCAATAGCATAAACATAACGCGGAGGTCCGCGCGGATCTCTCGGATCGGCGTTGGGGCCCGCCGGCGGCGCCTCCGGCGCCGCCCCTGGCGCGCTCCGCGCGCCAGAGAGGGGGGTCCAGCGCGGATCCAAGAAATCCTCGCGGACCAATTTATGCAATGTTTCGTTCCCTTATTCTTCAGCCTCTCCACACGGGTACTGCAATTCGCCGTGTCGAGGTCAGGGGTGGGGCAGGGGGGGCACGGAGAAAATTTGACAGGGGTGCCCTTCCCCAGTTGTAGCCTTCGCGCACGTTCTTCGTCATTCTCTCATTTCGTCGATCTCCTCCTCCGCCTTATATTCCTCGTATTCATCTCATCCTTTGTCCGCCTCGCGATCGTCACCTTCCTTATGATCCTAGTGTTCCTTGGGATGCTCCACCTAGTTCGCCTGACTCCCTCCCGCCCGGCTTCGTCTTCATCTTTTCCCTGGATCGGCTTCATCCCCCTTCCCCTTCCTTCAACCGCGCCTCCCTTTCCTTCCGACCTCCCCTCATCCTGTTCTCCATCCTTTCCCTCTCTCCCTCTCTCCCCCTCTCCCTCCTCCATTCCATCTCGTCCCCCGCAACTCCTTCTTCGTGCCTCGCATCTTCCACCCTCCCGCCTCTCCTCCCCCCCTCCGTCTTTCTTCATTGCCAGCCCTCCTCTCCTATTTTCCAGATGCATCCGCCCCCGTCCTCGTCGTCGTCCTCCGTTTCCCACTTCTCGTCGTCAACATGCTTATTTTGTCTTCACATGTTTAATTGCTCCTCCACCTGCTCCTTCGCCGCCGCCTCCTCTTCCTCCTCCTCGTCCTCCCTCTCCCCCCCTTCCCCCCTCCCCTCTCTCCTCCTTCCGCCTCCTCCTCCTCCTCTCCTTCCTCCCTCCTCCTCTCTCCCCTCCTCCTCCTCCTCCTCCTCCTCCTCCTCCCTCCTCCTCCTCCTCCTCCTCGTCCTCCTTTTCCTCCTCCTCCTCCTCCTCCTCCTCCTCCTCCTCCTCCTCCTCCTCTTTCCCCTCCCCCCCCCATCCCGCCCCCCACCCTGCCGCTGCCGGTGTCGGCCCATTCCCCGCCATGTCCGCTTGTTCTTGCTTCTTGCTCCTGCTGATCTCCCATCCACCTCTCCCCCCCCATCCGCAACCCCCATCTCTGGGACAACCTTTGACCCACAGAACTTTAGAGCCCCAGGCGTTCGGCTCCTTCACATTCCCCAAGGTTGAGTGCAGAACTCTGGAGCTATGGCTTCGTGCTCTTGCATATTTCCCTCTCCCCTCCTCCCCCTCTTCCCCACCCACGTCCTCCTCGGCCTCGCACTGACCCCATTGTTCCATCTCGCATTGGCCTCCTCGTCCTCCTCCATGACCTCCTTCCCCACCGCGCTCGTCCCTCGTCCTCCTCAGCCTCCTCGTCCTCCTCGTGTTTCTCGGTGTCCTCCTTTCCGCCTTGCCTTCCTCCTCCTCATCCTCCCTCCTCGCCCTCTTCTTCCTCCTCGTCCGGTCGCCCCCCCCCCCCCTCCCTCTCTCAGCCACCACCCGCTGTGGGGGGCCGCGGCCAGGACACGGACTTCTGCGGCGCGCCGCACGACTTCGACCCCTCGGGGAAGGCCGCGCCGCCGCGGAGGGCGGCAGGACGCCAACGTTACGTCGGGCCCGTCCCTCTACAGCAGGAACATTTAAAATTGGGTAAAAAAATGAGTCCGAGGACGATTTGTTGACTATTTTTGATTATATGTTCAAGTTGTCGCCCAAAGCCCGCCTGTAAGAGGACGTGCCCGATTTCAGCGCCAACGATACCTGTCGGGGGAACGTGCGGCTCGACTGCGCTGGGGCTTGGGTTTGCCGACGCGTTTTGACCAGCGCGTCCTGGATTTTGACGGGGAGGTCTGTCGCTTTGACTGCGGCCCCTCGTGGTTCGGTTCTCTTTCTCCGGTCGGTCCCCTTGTCGTTCGGCCGCTCTTGGGCCCTGGGTCCTGTCCCTCGGCTTCCCTTTCGGTCCCTTCTCGGGCCTCTTCGGTCGGCGTCGCCGTTCTTCGGAGCCAATGCTTGACGTTGGCCCACGCGCAAATAAAGTCTCCGTGGGATGTCTGACCGGGTCTCGCCATTTTCAGGGTGGCCCCGTCAGGCCAGCCCGAGTCCCCCGAACCCGAGTCTTGCGTCTCCCCGAACCTGACTTGGTGGAGCCACGAAGACTCGTCGCCCACCTGCGGGCCCTTCCCTCGCAGGCGATTCCTCCTCACCCCCCAACTAGTCGACGAAAAATGGAGCCGCTCCGAAAAGGGGGGGAACCCTGGAATACACCCCGAAGCCACCACTCGGACGCACCCCCATCGAGGCCGGGCGCCCCCCATCGCAGATTCTCGGGTTGGGCCCCAAGTTTCTGCTCCGCTCGGACACCTCCCACAGCCTGGGACCGGGGTCGACATCTCCCCTGTGATCCCCCTGCGGATCCAGCAGACGCTCGTCGTCGTTTTTGTACTCGTTCTTTCGCGGATCGGCGCGGGCCGCCGCCCCGCATCCCCCCCCCCCCCCTTCTAGCAGCCCAGACGTGCTTGTTTGGGGGCGGCTGCTTTTGGCGACTGGTCACGCTACCCTCCCAACGCTGCCTGCGCGCCTGGTGAGAGCAGATCGACGAAGCACCGGCCCACCGGCCC